AGACCCCTTCCTTCCTCTGCTAGACAGGGCTGTGGTGTGCAGCAGAGCTGTGTAAATTTCAGCACTGGACGGAGAGAAATACAAACCCTTCCTCAGGTCTTGCATGTGGATTTCTTCTGGTTTTGCCTCCTTTACATGAAATCTTAGGACATCTGCAATATGTTTGGTTGCATTAGCAGTTCGATGTTTGGCCTTACCCATTGCCTGGCATTGAGGTGTCAGGTGCACAATGAAGGGATAACATCACACATACATTTCACGTCCGCCTGTCCCATCACGGTCAACCTTGGATCACTCTTCAGAAACAGAGTTAATAGGCCACATTTTCTGCGCCTAAGACATAATGGCATTTACTCATTAACGACGGAGTATAAAACGCGGAACGCGTAGATTTGTCAGAATTCCGTGGATGCCGAGTAAAAAATGTACCCACAATCCCTCTGACATGAATAGATTCCATTGTGCCTCTCACACGCTGTGTTGTGCTCGGTCGGTTCTGGTTTTTGTTTGGCTTTTTTTTCTTGGTTGGTCACGGTCATCCCGGTAAGGTGAACTATGAATGTTTCATACATGTTGGATCTCTGCATAATGTACAGTATTTACATTGCCTCATAACAAATTCCGCTCATGCATATATCCATGAGATGACACAATGGGATGATGTATGGTTTCTGCAATATTTCGTATATGCGGCCAAATTAAAGCAGATATAAATCCAATCAATAAAAGCCAGTATGAGATTTAACATGTTAATGTCATTCCAAAAGCAATTTGTTTACTTTTCATACACAACTGAAGGCTCCCACATGACATTCCTAACACGGACCAGTTACTATGTGTCACACAAAACTCATACATTAGGCAGAATGACTTTATTTTTACCTTCCCTGGCCGAGCCAAACCTGTCTTCATAGATAGATACAGGGGCGTAATTGAAAATCACAGGGCCCCATAGCAACATTTTGTATGGGGCCCTGTGATTTCTAGTTACACCCCTTGCAGAGCCCACCTGTGATCCCACACAGCCCACCTGCGATCCCACACAGCCCACCTGCGATCCCACACAGCCCACCTGCGATCCCACACAGCCCACCTGAGATCCTACACAGCCCACCTGAGAGGGACCCTGCAGAGCCCACCAAAAACTTTCCATGAAGTTAAAAAGCAAAAATACCTTTGTTAATATTGGAGTCGATGGTAGTTTTTTTTTTTTTTTTTATCCGAAATTCCGTTGACGAATTTCGGATGCGAATCCGAATTCCGTTACAACAGAAACGTGACTGGTTGACCAATCAGAGGTTTTCTTCTGCTGCTGAGGGTTGCATTACAGGCACGAAATACGAAATTCCGATCTGAAATTCGTTAACGGAATTTCGTATTTCAGATTAAAGAAAAAAAAAATCTTGTCATGTTGTTCAACCTCAGTCACAGGGGTAATATTAGTTCCCGTTTCGACAAAATTCGGATCTGAAATTCGTCAACGGAATTTCGTATTTCGGATACATTCGGAAGCATTGCAATTCGGATTTCGGATGCTTCCGAATTTACGAATTTCGAATGTGCGAATTTCGATTCGTAACGAAACGAATCGCACATGTCTACTGCTGATTGGTGCGCTCTAGCTCTGATTTAGCAGGGAGCATGTTAGACCTCTGCAGCGTGGCCACTGCTTCTACACAGAAAGCACGGGTCCTGCACGCTGGCAGGGGACAGGCTTTTCTACTCAGGCTGTGGCTGCTTTAGAAGGAAAACAAACTGTGAGACATTGAACACATTTTCTGAAATTTCCGACAAATTAGGACACGGTCCTCTCACTGCCCTCTCCATTCCGGGCAAAGTGAATATTAAAGGTCAAGTCCTGATTTTGAAGTCTTTTTTGTTTTGTTACTTTAGGTTGAGCCGCAGGAACTCTCAGAATCCTGTTTCTGGGTGAAGGTGAAGGAGGAGAAATTTGAAAACCCCGAACTCTTCAAGAGGCTGTGCCAGACCTTTGCAACACACATCAAGGGTAGGCCGTCGATTTTCACTGACTTAAAGCTTTCAGATATTAGTCGTCATTTATATTTATTTGCGGATTGTTTAATCTCCGGGTTACTGGTGTTTGTGATAGTCTGCGATCGATAGATAGATAGATACAATCGATAGATACAATCTATCAGTCCAGAAGTTCACAGAATAACCCCCCCCCCGATAGATAGATAGATAGATAGATAGATAGATAGATACGATAGATACGATAGATACGATAGATACGATAGATACGATAGATAGATAGATAGATAGATAGATAGATAGATAGATAGATAGATAAGATAGATAGATAGATAGATAGATAGATAGATAGATAGATAGATAGATACGATAGATAGATAGATAGATATTAGATAGATAGATAGATAGATATTAGATAGATAGATAGATAATGATCATTTGATTGACACAATTGATTGTTAGATGGATAGATATGATCATTTGATTGACATGATTGATTGTTAGATAGATAGATAGATATGATCATTTGAGTGACATGATCAATTGATTGTTAAATAGACACAATTGATTGGATGTATAGATAGATAGATACGATCGAACAATACAATTGATTGATAGATATGGTCGACAGATAGATTTGATTGACACGATCGATTGATTGACAATTGATTGTTAGATGGATGGATAGATAGATGCAATCGAACTATACAATTGATAGATAGATGCAACCGAACGATACAATAGATAGATAGATAGATACAATCGATAGATGATAGATGTTGTGTGTTCTAGAACATTATTTGGATCCCTGTGTCTGATGGCGCACTGTGGTTTGTGTTGTCTCATACGGGATTATCTATTTTTACTTCTAATGATTTGCGTAGCCCCCAGATATATTCGGCAGATCTACAGGTGAAACTCGAATAATTAGAATATTGTGCAAAGTTCATTTATTTCACTAATGCAACTTAAAAGGTAAAACTAATATATGAGAGAGACTCATTACATGCAAAGCGAGATAGTTCAAGCCGTGATTTGTCATCATTGTGATGGTTATGGCTTACAGCTCATGAAAACCCCAAGAACCCCAAATCCACAACCTCAAAATAGTAGATTATTACATGCAATCAATAAAACAAGGATTGTACATAGAACAATATCGGACCTCTGAAAAGTACAAGCATGCATATGTACTCAGTACTTGGTTTGGGACCCTTTTGCAGCAATTACTGTCTCAATGCGGCGTGGCATGGAAGCTATCAGCCTGTGGCACTGCTGAGGTGTTATGGAAGACCAGGATGAACTTTTGCACGATATTCTAATTATTCGAGTTTCATCTGTATAAGAAGTGCCATCCCAGTGACATGGGAACACACACAATACAAGGAGCAATGCGGTGAGAACCTTGCCCCTATAAGCTTTCAATCTAGAAGTAGAGAAGATCGTTACGATAGGTAGAGAGATTGGACTCCGCCTGTGAGATGCTGGAAATGAACCCTTGCGGATGACGCTTGTTCTGTTTAAAGCTGAACTCCAGGCAAAGAGCTATGTACACAGAAGTTTTCCTATTGTCCATCCAGTTCTGATGGACACACAACACATATGGTCCACACAACACCGCTCTATCCAGCAGGGCAGGAGACCTGATTTTTCTCTGCTGCGGTTAAGTTGCACTTACAGGTCTTGCCCCTCCCCCCCCAAAGCCTATGACTGTTACATGGCCGGAGTTGCGCTTTAAGAGATGTATTATTTTTCAGAAATTGAAGGGCATAACGAGCCAATTTAAAGTCTGCGCGGCCGTCCCGCAGTCACTGGTGTGAGAAACAGAAGAATTAATATTTAGTAATTGCAACCAACAGATTGACCAGTCCGCCGTCCAATTAATCCCGTGTAGACTGTAAGCTTCACTAGGCAAGCGCTTTTCCATGGGGTTTTTACCGGTAATTAAGTATCAGAAAACTTCAGAGATAACGATGCCGGGAGAGTCTATCAGCGGGTTCTCCTATAGAACTAGTGTACATTGTGCCGGAGGAACAGCAGCAATTAGGCAACTTTTATTTCATATAAAAAGTGTCCAAAGTCGGCTGACGGGGGCCATCGGCTCGTGTCGGATCGATTATTAGTACAAGTCGTTTCCTTTCTGCAAACAAGTGATACAGTCCAAAAGGTCACACAATATACCCCC